TTTTTTTTACATAGAAATTTTATGTACATATGTATATATAATATATTTAGGTTGTATTAGCAAGTCAACCTGATTTAGAATGTGGTTTTGCTCGAGATTTATTTATTCAATGGGTTGAAAATGATAAAAATAGTATTATATTAACAACAAGAACATGTCCAGGAACATTAGCAAGAGAATTAATTGATAAACCAAATCTTACAACAATTGAAGTTGAAGTAAACATAATCAAATTTTTATTATTTATCAATCGAGAAAATTCACAAAAATAAATATTGTGAATAAAAGAGATTGAGTGAAATATACTATACTAATGAGAACCCGTGCATACTGCACGACTGTTTCCTCCTTGAACGTATTACCTTGGACGTTAAACTTTTCATCTAGTAACAGACATACAGACACCCAATATTATAAATATAGATAGATAGTCCTACAGTCTGATACTCTCATATCACATATATTTTTGTAGTCTAAATAGCCTTCAGCTTTATAGCCTTATATCCTTTGTTGCCTTACTACTTTGAGGGCCTATGCATACCCCCATATAATAGTCCTTGAGGGCCTTGGGCACCCTAATATAGTAGCCCTTGAGCCTTCTGCTTATAGCCTTATTTGACCTTTGATCCGGCACAGACAGACACTAAATATTATATATATATAGATGTATATAATCATGTCTGTTACAATTACGAAAAAATCGCTCCGATCGTCTTTTAAGTTTATTTTTATACACCTTCTTTCCGTCGTTACATCTATGAGTACAATGGTAGTCGACATAGGAAGTCTTAAACATAAGAGGCTACTCTCTTTTTAAAAGGTATTGAATATAAGAAAGTCTTGTCTTTTATGAAATAAGATCTAAAAGGAGTGTTGAAGTATATAGAATACCTCTATTCCGTACAGACTATGACAAACATTGCTATGGGAATGTAACAGACGTTGTTGATATACGATCAAAGACCGTATCTCGTTATAATATATGAACTACTTCGTTATTGTATTTCTAAGAGATTAATCCCATTGAGTTTGGGCGACGCGAATTCGCGTCCTGATATTTTGTGGTCTGAATAACTTTCAAAAAAACAGCAATCTGTTGATTATTTAATGATATGAATTGTATGGAGATTTGTACGTTAAGATTGTTTATTCTTACTGATGATTATTGATTGTCCCTTAATTTGTTGCGTACGAGATTATTTTTACATAGTAAAAAGAACGAGGGATGGTTGATGAGCAAATTGACCCTATAAAAAATTTTTGATTCGAAATCCCAACTATTTTATACCAAACGAAAGAGCTCGATGAGTTGAGGACTTTTTGTGATAGAACTTGATCTTTTAAATGAAACCATATAGAATTCTGGGTAACTTAACTTGTAAAATTTCAATCATTTTAGTTGTTGTCACGCTCAGAACTCTTCATGATTTCATTTAAAAGACCAAGTTTCATCACAAAAAGTCCTCAACTCATCGAACTCTTTCGTTTGGTATAAAATAGTTGGGATTTCGAATCAAAAATTTTTTATAGGACTGCTTTGCCTATCAACCATTCCTCGTCCTTTTGACTATATAAAAATAATCCCGGACTCAAAGGGTTAAATAGAAGGATTATAAAGAAATGTGTCCGAATAAAACAATCTTTCTGTGATTAGTAATAGCAGTTATATCATATTTTACATTGTAATGCTACAAGGATTGCCTTAATAGCTTCATCATTTTTGTGTTTGATTTTCGGTATTGTTCAAAAATCGCCATTTACGAAAAGGAAGGAATCGTCTTGACTAAAAGTCAATACTCTTAATTATTAACATCTCTTTATTGATTATTTTATTTTTTTAAAGGTACGTCGAAAAGTTCCACTTGAAGGTACTGAATTAGAAGAATATATGGAACGACAACGAATTTTAAATGAACAAAATGCTGCTAAAGCTCAAGCAGAAAAGAAAAAATCTCGTAAATCATCTAAACATTCTGTTGATGATGAAACGGATGTTGATATTAGTATGAATGATTATGAAGAAGAAGAAGAAGAAGATGATGATGATGAAGATGATGATGATAATGATGATGAAAATCAAGGTAATAATAAATCAAAATCATCAACAACAGATAATACAATTGATACTGGTCTTGCTGATGACTTAAGAGGAAATTCTTTACATACACCATCAGGTACTCGTCTTCCATCTCAATCACCATTTGCACCAAAACGTAAAGCATTTGCTGTGTTTCCATATAAAGAAGAAAAATATGTTTGTGATGATTATGGTGAAATAATTAATCCAGATGATTATATGATTGTTGAAACAAAACCATCAATAACAAATGATTTATCATCAATGAATTTTGGTGATTCTGATGAACGACATCCATCAAATGAATTAATTGATATAACAAATACTAATAATACATCAAATATGATGATGATTATGATGCAACAAGCTTCAACTATTTTACCAAATAATCAATCTCAACATCCATTAATTCAACAAGTTCAACATCAACCATCATCTATACCATTTAAAACTTTACGTGATAAACGTGAATTAAAAATAAATGCTAAAGTTTTATATGTTGATTTTGAAGCACGTAGTGATAGAGAATCAATTGAAAAATTACTTAATCAAATTAAACCAAAAAATTTAATATTTATTCATGGTACACAAGATTGTATTGAACAATTAGAAAAATATTGTACAACAAGACAAATTGTTCAAGGAAGAATATTTTCACCACATGTTGGAGAAATAGTTGATGCAACAACTGAAAGAAATCTTTATCAGGTATGTTTTATATTCAATACAATGATAGTAGTTCATATTGCACATTGGTTTTGCATTACAACAACAGATTGCCGATTGGAGAATAACTACTGTTACACTACAGTAGAATGGCGGTTAGAAGATAGCCGATGATTTAAGTATTAAATTACCATCGGTATAGCGCACATGTTACCGAACGGTTTTTTTGTCCGGACCAAACACATGAGAGTACAAAGAAAAGGTTTTCAGTCTAAAACAAATGTTTATGGAATCTCTCATTCGCTTGTAAACTTAATAGTGAGATTCAAATAAGAATATTAAAAAAACATATTTGAACAAAGATTCATCAATTTGAAGATGAAATCAACGGACTGCAAAAGCTTTTCATATAGTTTAATTTTTCTCTTACGTGAGTTCTATTCACAAATGTGCTATATATTTGAAGAACTATCCAAAAGAAAAAGATTTTGATAGTTTCTGAAGAAATCCAAAAATATTCTTTTTTTGTGTTTGAAAATTCCTGAACTATCTAACCCATTTAGTACAAAACGTTTCAGTAATATATTCATACTCAATATAATTTTTCAAATTGATGCTATCTAATAATGATACTTTATTTTGTTTTTTATACGTTTTGTTGAATTTTTATTTAGATCAAACTCAAAGATAGTTTACTTAGTTCAATAACATTTGCAAAAACACGTGATGTTGATGTTGCTTGGGTTGATGGTATAATTACTCATGGTGCACCACCACCTACAACACCACTCACAACAACTACATTTACTAGTAAATTTTACATGAATACATTCATGAAAAAAA